CAGCCTCAGCCCCAGCCCCTGCTCTGCACTCACCGTGGGAGGGGAAATAGCGCCTCTCGGGAAAGCTGCCCTCCGGGGAGCGAGCAGGAGCTCACCCTCAATGAGTGCTGGCCTCTTAGGGTAGGAGGGCAAGGACGGACCGACCCTTCTCCCTTCCTCTCCTCTTCCTCCTGCTCCTCCTCCAGTATATGCCATTCAAAACATGGTGCCCGTCTCTGAGAGATCCGTGGACACCAGGGGGAAAAGGAGTGTCTGTTTCTAAGATGCTTAAACTATTGGTGACACAGCTCCGGGTCACTAAAGCAGGCAGACGTGTATGGGGTGCACATCTCAGCTCACATCAAACATCCCACCATGACAGCCAAGCCTCGCCCACCGGCACGGTCCTTCACCGTGTGGTTTGGGGCGGCTCCTCACATGCCTCAGGTTCGGGCCTGGCACCTGGGTGAACAGGGATGCGACAGAGACGGCAGGGGGAGGGATGGGGACAGAGACGGCAGGGGGAGGGATGGGCCTGGAGAGCAGGCACCGCTCCTAGGGGCTGCAGGTGAGAGAGGCCTGCCCCTGAGGGCAGGAAAGGCCACATTCCTGAGAAGGAGGCCTGTCTTGGATCCTCTGGCACCAGGTTCCCTCTCCCAGCATCCGGAGGGAGGCTCGCAGGTGCAGGGCAAGTCCCTGGGCAGGGACAACGCTAGCCTCTTGCTGTCCAACCCTGGGCAGGCTCCTGCTGGGCTCTGGGCCTTGTACATCAGAGGGTTCTGGGTCCCCCCAGCCCTGCCTCACACACCCAGGGGCAGCCCCCTGACCCATCCTATGCACTTGTCCCGCTGTTCGAGGCTGGAGGCTGGGCTTCCGCTCAGGAACCCCGTGATGGGGGCCCAGGGCCCCGCACGTGGCCATGTTCATCCTCCTCCATGCCTGTGCTCCCACTGTCACCGCTCCCACATGCTCTCACTCCTGCACGTAGCCAAACCCTGCCCCTCTTTTCATCCTGCCCCGGGAGCTCTTCCAGCTCCTCACAGGTCTCCTGCAGGGTGCCTGCCCCACTGGAGGAGCGCAGAGGGGGAGACAGGAGCCATGGCAGCCAGTGTGAGGGTGGTAGGAATTCCTTTCCTCTCTCCAGGCGGTTCTCCCTCATGCACGGGGCCAGGGACTGTGGGGTGCAGGGGAGGTCATTTCAGTTGTGCCCCCACTAGTGAGAGCACTGGCCAGTCCCTCCTCCGGTACTGCTGCAGGGAAGTCCCTCAACCCTGAACGATTCTCTGGCCAGCAGGTCCCTCCCGCCCCGTGGGTCCTCAGAACTCCTTTTTGAGTGCTGCCTCCATCCCTGACCACCAGCGAGCGCCTGCCCTGGCCTGGGAGAAGCACCCTCCCTAACAGATAGGTTTGTGCAGGACTCGCTGGGTGCTGTCCTGGCCAGCGCCCTGCTACATCTGGAAAACCCAGGCCCAGAGAGGTGACACCCACACAACCCGGCAGCAAAGGGCAGGGCAGAATCTGGGTCCCGGCCTCTCAGGCCCTGGAAGCTCTTCCCACAGGTCCTAGGACCCCAGGGAGGTGGTCCGCCCAGCAGCCCAGCACAGCCCTGGGTGATAGAGCGTCTCTGACTGCAATGCTGTGGGTTCCTGGGGCTGTGGCTGTGGAAGAGGCCCCTGCTTCTGTGCGATACAGCCCAGAAGGATGGTGAAGACCATCCTTCGCAGGGAAGACGGGGGAGCGGGGACTACTCCAGGGCCACTCTCTTTGTGCCTTCGGGTCAGCGGGTCAGCGGAAAGCTCAACCCTCCGGGCTACAGAGGCAAATCTCAGCGCCTCGGCCCCCACCCCTGACAGCCCCGACTCCCTCCAGCTCCGGGTGGAGGCCGGGTGGCTGTGAGCCCACGGGCCTCGGAGCGGGAGGGGTGACCCGAAGGAGGTGGGGGCGCTGTGCCAGGCAGGCGACGGTCTACCAGTGGTTCTCAACCTTCCTAATGCCGCGACCCTTTAATACAGTTCCTCATGTTGTGGTGACCCCCAATTTCATTGTTACAAGTTGAACATAATTAAAGCATAGTGATTAATCACAAAAACAACATGTAATTATATATGTGTTTTCCGATGGTCTTAGGCGACCCCTGTGAAAGGGTCGTTGGACCCCCAAAGGGGTCGCAACCCACAGGTTGTGAACCACTGGCACAGGGTCCGGCCGCGAGCTCCCTACGCGGGCAGACAAGCCCGACTCCGCAGGAAAAGCTCGGCGGTCCCTGCGCACGCGCGCCGCTCAGGTCGAGCCGCTTTGTTCCAGCGCTACCTGCGGCTCCATTCACCGCCTCCGCCCCGCCCCGCCCGCCAGCGAACGGACGGGCCCGCTCCTGGAGGCTCCGCCCACTTCCCGCGCTGGGTGGAACCCGGGCGGGCCCCGCCTCCCTCCCACCACGCTCTCCCTTGGCCGCGATTGGCCATCTGCGCGACGCGCTCCCGCCCACCACGAAAGCTGATTGGTGCGTTGGGTTAGGAGAAGAGCCGGTTATAAAGGACGCTCCCCCGCCCAGAGCAAAAGTCACGTGGCGCTTCGCTCGGCGCCTGTCACCACTCTGCTTGGAGAGCTTTCTTAAAGGGCTCGCTGACTCCTCCGAGGACTGGTCCTTTCAGGATTTCTCCACCCTCGCCCGCCCAGGGTGGCGCGGTCCTGGGCCGTCCTGCTCCGCCAGCTGTCGAGGTGCAGATTCCCGGTCAGGCCTAGTGGGGTGAGACCTCTCTCAGGTCTCGAAGCCTGTGGCCATCACAGGAACCGTGCAGTCACCTGGAACGGTGACCGTAAGCACACTGCCTGGCACGTAGTAGGCGGTCAGTTTCCTCTTATAGAACGAACTCATTGCGAGAATGAATGAGTGGGATTGACAGACAGGAAGAGGGGAGGTGGGCTCAGCGTGACCGCCCCCTCCCCGGGGGACTCTGCTTCTGTTCCTGTGGAGAGGGGGTGCCAGGCGCAGGACGCCCCCAAGGCAGCCCTTCACCGTGGGGCCCTGTAGGGTTGGGAGCGCGGGAATAGAGGACCCAGGAGGGCGTCTTGGCTGGGCCCTCTAGGCGGGTCAGAGCCGGTCCCGGGCAAGGCTAGACCGCGGCGGCGGGACCCAATCAGGGCGAGGAGGGGCAGGGGCGCACCGGACGCTTTGCGCGCCCGCGTACCCCTTGGGGGAGGGGCGGCGGAAGTAGCGGCGCCTTTAAGTCCAAGTGCTCGGTCCCGGCGGCTCCGCTCCCCCGAAGAATGCCTTGGTGCGCGACCGTC